GGACGAGAAGAAGGACGAGAAGAAGGACGAAAAGCAGGACGAGAAGAAGAACGACAACAAAAAGCAGGATGACAAGAAGGCGGACAACAAAAAGGCGGACGAAAAGAAGCCAGACGAGAAGAAGGCAGACGACAAGAAGGCAGACGACAAGAACAAGGGCAAAGAGGCGGCCAAACCGGGCGGTTCTTCAGGTGGTGCCGGCGTCGCGCCGGCTGCGAACGGGGCAAAGAAGGAGGCAGCTGCCTCTCCAACTGCCGACTGCGGCAAACTGACGGTGCAGGGTACGATTGAGCTGAGCCAGATCCTGCAAGCGCTCGGCGTTGGTCCCTCTTCCTCCAAGCGCGAGCACTGTGCATGTCCCGACTGCACCCGCAGCAACGGCATGGACCCACCTCGTCGTCACAAATGCAGCCATACGTACCAGTAAGTTCGCCCCGTCTCCTTGCTGCCAAAAACCAGTGGCTGACCATTTGGATGGCAGGTGTGAGGACACGCAGTGGGACTCGTCGAGCGATCACTTTGGTAAGTCCTTCCCCCTCCCTCTTGACACGATCCCGTAGACTAACAAGTACGTGGTTGCAGCTTCATTCCGACCTGCGCGTCATCGTCGACACCATCCTTCGCACCGTTAGAAACGCATGTATTTTTCACTGTGCCAAAAACTTCCACAGCGCCTGGGCATCCTTGTAGTCGTGATGGACGATGGTCACGAGCCATCGGTCGTTGGTGACGCCGTCGATGAGCTGACGACTAGCCGAGGCCTTGGGGAACAACATGGCCCACTCGTTCCAGATGCCAAACGCCTCCTCGCGCCACGCCTCGAAGCTATCCCGCTCGATGATCGTCGACTGCACGATTTCCTTGCCCGGAAAAACGGCCCAGGTGACCGTATTCGCCTCACCCTCGGCCAAGTTCGAGACAAAGTCGCCGCGGGCGTTGCCGGCAAAGTAGGTGTACTGCGCATGCGGACCCATGGCATCAATCGCCTCCACCAACGCGTCTTTATCGCTCGCCGACATAAACAGCTCCACAAAGGCCTTCTGAAAGATGAAGCCACCCGAAGGACCGAATCCGACAACGGGGTCGGTGGAAGGTGCACCGTCAATGGCGGGTTGAGATCCGACCGACCACCACCCTTTCCCTGCATCGGGAGTGGCGCCGAGTCGGTTGAGCGCAAGAAGATGGTCGCGGATCTGGAGGGTTTCGTGCATAAGCGGCGCATCGCACCATGGAATGCATGCGATCTTTTCCTCGAGATACGACGCAAAGATCGTCGAGATGTCGGCTAGCGTCACGGGATGGCCCCAGATACGCAGCGCGTCCGCAGCGGGAACTTTGAGGCTCACGCCGTATCCGTCCATCTCGCCGAATGCCGGACTGCGCGAATCACCGTAGCGGCCGTTGGGAAATTCGTCCCACGTAGTAGTCTCGGGCACCTGGTACGAGCTGGACGTGCGCGCCAGCGTGCGCTTCAACGCCTCCTGCGTGGTCACCTTAAAGTCGCGCGGCGTGTTGGCGCCCGTTCGGTCAGAGAGCATCTGGTTCTTGGTACGCTCCAGATGCAGATGCGCGGGTACAGCACTCAGCCGCACATCCGCCTCGGCAAGTGCACCCACATCCGTCTTCCACCCGAGCCCGTCCAGGATGCGCTCGATGCTCTTTTCCAGGTTGAGCGAGCACAGATGGAATCCTCGTATATCGGACTCGAGAAAGATGCGTCCGATCATGTGGATGCCCAGCGCCACGCCGTACTCCTTGACGGCCGCATCGTCGGCCTTGATGGGCTCGAGCGCCTCCAGCACGAGCGGCGGGATCTGCACCTTGCACAGGTTGGTCATGCGTCGGAAGCTCTGGTAGTTCTGAATCGGCATGATCCCGGGAAGGATGGGGATGGTGATGCCCATGGCGCGCGCGTCCTTGTACCACGCCAGGAAGCGGTCCACATCGTAGAACAGCTGCGTCACAATGTACTGTGCGCCTGCATCCTGCTTTTGCTTGAGGAACGCCAGATCGCGCTGGACGTCGCGGTCGACATAGTCGGCATGGCCCTCGGGATAGCCCGCTACGCCGATGCAGAAGTGGTCACCGTGCGACTCTCGAATGTAGCGCACGAGGTCGGTGGCGTGCTGGAAGCGCTCGTCGGCGGCCACCCAGTACTCCTCGCCGCGCGGCGGATCGCCACGAAGCGCAAGGATGTTGCGAATACCCAGCCGCTTGGCAGCGAGCAGCGTCTGGTCCAAACTGGCCTTCTGGACGTTGGTGCAGGTGAGGTGCAGACAGACATCACATGCATCGGCACCTTCATGCTGCCACTGCTGACTTGCCTCCGAATCACGGCCGTCGGCGGAGAGGAGCGGGGTGGCAGGGTCGAGTCTGCCCTTCTGTATCCTGCCTGCGAGCTCGAGCGACTTTTCGACCGTGGTGCCGCCAGCGCCCCAGGTGACGTGGATCCAGCTCGGGTCGAGGTTGGCGCGCATGCGTGCGATGCGGCTGTACAGGTTGGCCAGACCCTGTGTGGTCTTTGGCGGGAAGAACTCGAAGGACCAGAAGGGTGCATCGCGCGCGTTGGCTTGCTGAATCTTGGCAGTGATGTGCACCGGGTGGGGCGCCGCAGCTGCATGTGCACCCGGCGTGGAGGATGAGCTGCTGGCCGCCATGCTGAGCTCGGTGGATTCCAGACTGGCAACGCAGGATGGTGGGTGAGCGGCACTCGACCCGAGTCCACGCGAGCAGACGATGTGGTGGTGCGCAGTCCGACTTCCGAGGCGAGCCTTTCTTCGCGGCGGCAATTTTGCACAGATGTTAGATCAAACTGATTCGATTCGCGGAAGTCCGCCGCAGAAGGGAGAGTGACGTTGTGGCTTGGGCGCTAAAGTGGGTTCAAACGCACTAGCCCGCAGTCAGCTGGCGAGGGCGCTGCTTGCTATTGTGTTGCAGATACGACACCGGTCCGGCCCTGCGTGGCCTTGGAGGTTGGCGCAAGGCTTGTGGGCAAAGTGAGGAGAAGAAAAGGCGTCGTCGTCGTGGTGTGTGCGTTGGTCATGACGAAGTGGATGCGTCTACGCCGTACTTGGCTTCTTGGCTTTTTCTGGGCGTGAGAGGTGGAAAGAAGAGAATGCGGTTGAAGATGGGCGGGCGGCTGCAGCTTCCACTCGGCACGGCGCGAGGCGAGGCGTGGACCCTCCTTCTGCTGCAGCTGCTCATTTCGATGGGGATTTCGCACCTAAAATCGCTCTGACGCGCCCCACCGCCCCACCGCCCCACCTCAGCCTCCACCTTGGCTGGACCTTGTTGACCTGGGCTGCTGTGCCGTGCCGGGCGCCCAAGACGACGACCGGCACGCATCCGCAAAAGTGGACAGTCAGCCTTGGAGGCTCGAGTTCTGACGATCTGCTGGGCCGTGCCGAAGTCGCCTCCACAGCCGCATTCCTCTTGCCTTCACTCGCACTCGCACTCGCACTTGCACTTGCACGTCGACGCTGCTCGGAATGCCATCCACGCCTTGAACACACACACACACACACACACTCTCTCT